CGTGAGGCCGAGCCGCGTGGTAAACGCCGCTAATTTTCCCGCTGGCAGGAAGCGTGAGGAGCCAGCACCCCGAGGGCCGCCCCCGTGGACTGGCTGTGGGGGTGGCCCCAGCACCCACCCGTGAACAGCTTATGACGACAGGCATGCACCAGGCGAAGACTACCCAGTGCACAGCGTTTACCAGGGCGCAGCGGGCCCCGGGTGGCTGACGGGGCGCAGCCGGGGGCCTGGGAGAGGCCGCTTGCCACCGGGAGCTGGTCAGGCTCCCCCGAGACGGGGGACAACAGACAACGGGCTTCCCTGTTACGGAACGCTCTATTCAACTTAGGTTTTGTTTTGTGTTTTTTAAAAAATGTATTTCCTATTGATTTCAGAGAGAGAGAATCATTGATTGGCCGCCCCCTGCACGCCCTGCACTGGGGATCGAGTGCCCTTGACGGGAATCCAACCCGGGACCCTCCAGTCCGAAGGCCCATGCTCCATCCACTGAGCCAAACCAGCTAAGGCTCAACTTCGGTTTTAAGTGAGACGATGGGGATTGCTGAGGCTGCGGCTGCTGCTGGGACTCGAAACAGGAAAATTCCTGGCAACGCTGCAAATAGGAGTCCAGGCCTCAGCCCTGGGAACCCCAGTCCAGGTAGCAAGCTGGATCCCTGTTACTCACCCTAAAGGACCCCCCCCCACACACACACACCGCCCCGTTTGTGTCCCACCAGAGTTGCCAGATTATGTAACCAGACAATCAAGGGGACTGGGCTGCCTGTCACTACTTGAGCCAATTAAGCAGGGACGGGTGAATCACATAAGAACATCTATTCCAGTCCTGCCGGCAGCATGGAGAGCAGCAGGGCATCCACAAACAGCCTGCTGCTTATACTGGGTAGGAGGACAGAGATTACATGGGGAAGTAGCCAAAGGGGCAGTTGATAGGTAATGGGGGCTGGAGATTTGCAAAGGCCTGTGGGTATGCAAAGGGCTGGGCGTCTTAAAAGGGCTAGTGATTCTGGTTCCTGCAAGAAGGTTGCTAATCCTTCCAGGATAATAGGCAGCTCCCTGAGGGGGAGGATGGGCTGCGTCTCCAGGTGAGCGCCCAGGTCCCACGTGCAACTCCCAGCAGGTGAGCATGCGCCTGCCTTAATCAACAGTCATGGTTAACAGCGTGACCCACATTTCTTGTAGTTGGTCCCCAATATTCTATTTCTGCCTCTATCAGTTCACCCACTAAACCAGGCACTCGTGCAGTGGGTCCTAACAGGCCCACACCAGCAAGTCCATGAGGGCTTAGTTCTCCTAACACCCTGCTGGCAGCATATGCCCCAGCTGGCATGGCTCAGTGGTGGAGCCATAGTTTGATTCTTGGTCCTAGCACGTGCCTGGGTTTGGGGCTCGATCCCCAGTAGGGGGCATGCAGAAGGCAGACAATCGATGTTTCTATATCCTTTCCTTTCTAAAAAGCAATAAAAACATACTTTAAAAAAATACGTGCAACCCTGACAAGAGAATTGGCCTGATAATAAGCACGCCACGCAAGGGTGCAGGTGCTCATCGCGTGTTCAGTATTTGCGAAGATGAATCTCTTAGGTGTCCAGTGAAATAGAACTGTGTGGTCTCAGGTCTCCTCCCTCCACAGAAGCGTCTCCTGGGAGGGAGGTTGCACACACTGTTTTGTAAGCCGTGCGCTGGGGCTGAGTAGTAAAACATGGACCTCAAAGACAGTACGGTGGGGCCTTGACTTACGAGTTTAATTCCTTCGGAGACCGAGCTCGTTAAGGAGCTCATTAACTCAAATTACTCTATCAACTCAATGCAAAAAATTAGCCGAGAGACAGCTGGTATCTCAAAAACCAGGGCTGTGGCATCGTGAATGCAGTTCGGCAGGGCGGGGGGAAGGGGAGGGGGAGCAGGGACAGATGAGGAAAGGTCTACAGGTGATGGAGTGGAGTTCAAGTGCATCATGGTTGCCGTAGTGGCCACTTCAGGGTGGTCTTTCTTTGAGGTGAGAGGAGCCAGGATGCCCCAGGATGGAAGATGACCTGGTTCTACACAAGAAAGAA